TTGAAAAATAATGTGTTTTTTGAACATTAAAGCATGTCAACATATTCTGTTACACCAAATACACCAAATAATGATCTTTAAAAAAGCATCATATGACTCCTTTAAATGTTCAAATAGCTGCAGTACTCCGACTTTGCCACAAGGAAACGTGCATACGCCTGCTCAGACCCTGATGTGATGGTAAGTACTTTTCCACATCAAAGACCGTTTTTATAAATATGTACGTTGCCGTGGATTTTAGCCTACGCACACTATAAGATCAAATCTGTGCGTACGCACATTTTATAAATGAGGCCCCAGGAGTCTTAGCCATTAGGTTGGAAAAACTGCCCTCCATAAAAGTTTGCTATATTGCACTCCAGTTTTTATTTTCACTTTTTAACAAGTCTGTGTGGAGTTGTTGCTGAGTAATCCATTGTTAGAACAGAAAAGCGCCTTGAGAAATATGCTTCCTCCCCTTTACAAGACTTGCCAATGATCAGGTTTGGCATTTTATCACTTCTACTACTTCTGCTTTTCAACAGACTTAACTGCAAATCCAACACATGCCTTACAGTAATGAAATAAGTTTGGTTGGAGGGAACTATACGAAGTTGACATTTGCATGTGCCAAAATTGGATTAGCAGTGTATAAACATCTCAGAATTACCGGCCTTTTGCAGAACTTTCAAACAGTCAAACTGGCTTGCTTGTAAGCTTGCTGGAAATTGATGTCACAATCTTTGAAACACACAGCAATGCATGATCCTGATTTCACACTTTTGGACAACTTACAGCCACATTGGTGAACTCAGAACACCTGGATGTTGTACAAGATAAATCAAACTGTGATCCGTGCATTGAGGTGAGAGGCTCCAAATTATGCATGCAACTCAAACACAGAGATTCCATAAACCTGTCTCCACTGGTAAATGACATGGTAAAGCTACAAATTCTTGCTCCCCTACGGAAGCTCAAGACCATAAAACAGTATAATTTCATTGTGACGTGTGAAAAATATTACACAAATTAATTTGAAAATGTAATATAAAAGCTTAGAGACATTGAGGAACAGTACATGGTGGCTTACCTTCACACAGCTTCTGCCTAATTACTTCACGGATCTTTACAATAGCTTTATAGTCTTCCACATAAAAAACATAAGTTGAGGATGGTTTGTTGGCAATGGCCCTGAGCTCTGCCTCCTCGGTCTCAGAACCAACACCAATTGCGAAGAGAATTATCCCCTTTTTCCTCGCAGCTTCTGCAGCTGCCAGCACTTCATCTTGTGACTTCCCGTCTGTCAGAACAACAGCAATTTTTGCAATGCCATTCGGACCTCGCTCAGACAAGGCAAAGAGTTTGTCGTTGGCAAACTTGATGGCCTTCCCTGTGTTTGTGTTCCCACCCATGTATTCTATGGACTCCATGGCCTTGATGAGGTCACTGCTTGAGAAATGTTTTCCTAGGGGTATATGCAAGAAGGGGTCGTCGCTATATTGCGCCACTCCAACCTGGGTGAACTTCTGACCGATGTCGAAGCTCATGGTGATATTTACCAGCCACCGTTTGACAATCTCAAAGTTTATGTCATCCACACTCCATGATCCATCGAGTATGAATACTAGATCACTTGGCGCTGTCCTACAACCTGAAATTGAGGAATGAAGATGAGATTTTGTACTGCATAAGTTGACCATTTGAACTTCTCGCACTGCAGGGCACAGTTTAGACACTTGACTTCAAAGTTCTATCTTCTATCAAATTATTGACAGTCTGCCCTGTGTTCCTAATTGGATGACCAAATTGGTCTAAAGGAGTTGCAGAAATTGTTGCATTTGCTCTGTATTAAAACATGAACACTGCATCATTAGGTGATGTTATCTAGATGTTATCTAAGAGTCAATAGTCTTCATGCAACATACACTAATGAAGATGGGAGAAGCACGCTTACTTAATCTCATGTCCTCATCTTGTGCTGTGCAAAACAAGTGAAGGAGCATGAAGTAAAGACACCAAAACACAAAATGCATGGATCTCATTTTGCAACCCATGTTCCTGAAGTACCAAGCTCCAGTTTAGCACCTGAAGAGAAATGAAGATAAGACATGCATTTCTTAGATGTCTTCACATGAATGCCATTGGATTTGCAGATGTTTAGTTTTTATAGTTTTGTTAAATGAATGGCATGCTTTTTGTAATCAATATAAACATCTCAACCAAAACAGTTGAGCTGCAGTTTTATTGCATTTGTTGCGCACAGGATACAATGCGGTTAATTTGGTCCATGCTAATGAAGATGGTTGTGCATTTCTAGGCTTGGATATGAAAACCAGAGAATGGAAATGAAGGTTGTGTGCACCTTTTTTGTGTAACTGGAATGAGAAACAGGCATATTATGCAATACTTCTCCATCATTTGAACATTGAAATTCAATTAATGACATAATTGTCCAATTAGCTTTTAAAGAAGTATTCAGGATCATAAACAAGTGAAGCTGAATAAGCAGCGTTTGTGGCATAATGTTGATTACCACAAAAAAAAAAAAAAGATTTTAACCTGTGCTTACTTTACCTTATAGCAAAACTCAAGCTTACAGTGAGGCACTTGGCACAATGGATTTGGATCATTTAAAAGCAGAAATGTGAAGCTTAAAAGTTTATTAAAGCACTTTCATTCATTGTTCAATCAAAACTTACTTGAGGTGTAAGGTTCTCGTAATTTTTATGGTCTTTTTACGATTTTAGACATGTGTTGTCATGGCAACATGGCAAAGTTTTAAAAATGCATATAACTTATAATGCATATAACATACACAGAACAGGGTTAGTAACAGAAAAAAAAACTTTTTTCACACTAAAATATTGTTATGCATATTGTCGCTATACTTTTGATTAATTTTAAATTAATTTTTGTGGTAATCAACATTATGCCACAAGTGCTCTTAATTGAGCTTTCCTTATATTGAACACAACATATTTCTATTGTGTGATTTTTTTTAACGATCTCACCAAGTAGAATCATGTCACATTTTGAAATAGTTCTTCATCTAATTCTGGCTCTTGTTGGAAACTGTGTGCTGTTTCCAGAAAGAGAAAGAACTGCAGACATTATTAAAAAAAAACACCGTAATAAATGAAGACCAGATATGCTCCCTTTGCAAAGGGTGGGGGTGTTTTTTGGCCTACTGATTGCTGTGGTCAAACAAAGATTCCCAATGCAAGTTACCATCCTCACCAGCTGAGAGATCTGAGCGTGACTGGAACACGAGTGAAACTTTTATACATCCTTCAACCTTGGCTAGTTATATGACTGAGGTTTTCCAATCTTTGACCAGGAGGTGTATCATAAGACAGCCATCGTGGAACTAGCCCTCACTCCTGTGCTTTGCAAGGCCCAGCACAAGGGGAGGTATATGGAGCGCTCCATTATTTTCATGAGCATGTCTGCATGCTAAGCGCTCAAACCCACGCCCCCACACACACTATTCCTTGGAACTGGATTTTTTTTCTGCCAGTAACATTGTTGTTTTGGACAATGACCAAGCTCATGTTCATGTGACAAAGCCAAAGCAACTTTAAACCAAAAAAAAAAAAAAAAAACTGCAGAAAGCAGTTTGGTAATGCACCATTACTCTTGTGGAATTAATGACTACAGGTCCTGCACAAAAACTGGAAAGACATGTGTGTCTGCCAGCCTGTACCTCTAGCCATATGGCTTTTCTCTGCGCCATGACCTTCTCATTGACCTTGGAAGTTATTGGGGACCTCCAGACAGTTTACGGTTCCAGTCCCAGGTCAAGATGAAGGAAACTTTGGAACGGTAATGTAGCTGGAATGCGACGTGTTTAAACATCCTCCACTATGAAAAGGAACTGTCCCCTTACATTTAGCCAATTGTATCCTCAGCAAATATCTTACAAAACATGACATTTAAATCTCAGTGGAATTTCAGTGTGATTAATTCATTGTGTTTGTAGTGATACTTGTTTAAGATGTATTCCACGTCGATGGGTTTTGTCCAACTGGATGTGGGAGGCAGGAAACCCTTGTTGAACAGCTGATTCCTCCCTGTCCTCCAGATGAGGTGTTAACCTCTCTGTATCCTAAGGGTGCCAGATATCTATGCTTTATTTAGCTGGTTTCTCAGGAAAGGCTAAAAGTTCCCTTCACATCTGTAGTTACTCTTGATTCATTATGTATGGCTTTTCTTGGATCAGTTACCTTCATGTTTTCTAACTGGCAGCCATTGTCTTAGTAAAACCTTTCTGCCTGTTTTCCATTGCACAGCTATAAATGTGCTATTGTAATGCAGTGCTTTTCAATACCAAAATCAACAACTGCTGTAAGGCATGTTCAATTAGTTTGCCAACATGAGGGGAAAATAAATGGGGGGCCAAGTTCCTCAGGCTCCAGTGGAATAGCCAAAACATTATATCAGAGAGACCACTGAAATTGTTTCACATACTCAAGACCGTAAAGACAACAGTCTACCGAGGACAGAGCTGTTACAAGGGAGTTTCCACCAAGTTACGTACATGATCAACATGCATGTCTTACTCACAAATGGTTTGTTGGAGAATCTCCCTTTTGATGCTCTTCCAGCTCGTCTGTACAGCCTTTTTTAATCACCGCTGTTACCCAAACAAGGGAACACAACTCTTTAACTTATGAGTTAAAGAAGGCTACATTGTTCCTTCAGTTAGACTGAATAACTCTGCACCTTTACCCCGGACCAGTGCTGGACAAAGCCCTGTTAAATAATTCCATTCATTCCTCACTCGTGACAGTGGCACAAGTCAGGAACTGATAACCATTACAAATAAATTCACCATGCAGGTTGTCTGCATGACCAAAGATTTGCAGACAAGAAAGAACAAAGCAAGTGAGGTTCTATGCATGTAGAACTTTTTAAATGTTCTCAAAAGGGAATGCATCAACCCAACCCTCAACAGACAACAGCACACCACCGTCAAATAAAAAATGACATATTCAAGAAGACCTGGATGAATTTCAAACAAGCATTTTTTTTTTTTTTTTTACAATGACCTCATCTGTTAGGGTAGCCGTAAGATAATGAGATGTGAAACAGTATCTTCTGCATGCTGGTTGCAGCCAAAGGAAAAAGTGCAGATAACACAACAGTCAAGAGAATCAATGCATCATAACGGTTAAAGAGAGAAAAGACAAAGATTTACCAGAGTTTGATGTGCAGGGAGCTGGACTCTTATTGAATAAAATCCCCTCACTCACACTGTCTGGTGTCTCATGGTCAGTGCTGTGCAGAGCGCAGAATTGGAGGAGGTGGGTTTGAGGAGGCTGCAGAGTTGCAGATGTGAGCCTGCCCTCTCCATTCACCTTCCAACTCTCTCTCTCTCTCTCTCTCTCTCTCTCTCTCGCTCTCTCTCTCTCCCTTTTGGTTACAGAGGTTGAAATAAGTCGCAGATAAGGACAACTTCACTAAATAGAAGAGAAAAGGAGTCAGCCCCCTTTTTGTGGAAGAAGAAGGAAAATTATAATAATTCCGATATTCTTCCAAGGTTGGGATTGTGTATGACAGCTGAGAGGATAAATATTGCGAGTGGGTTTTTAGGAATGATCCAGAAGATTAGATAAGAGAACATGCTTTCACATTCTCTGAGTCGAACTTGCGAGGCGGAAGGTTGTTGCCTGTTTGTTGCTTCATACAATATGTTGTTTATTTTCAGATTCATTTCTTGGACTTTTTTTTTCAGTATGTGTGTACTTCCTCAAGTCATTGATAGTGATGTTGTGTGGAGAAGACACAACAATTTATTCTCTCCAAAATGTCAAATTTATTGAAGTGGATATGTTATTGGAAACAAGAAATGTCTACTATTGAGTTACTCATGAATTTGAAAGCTGAACATTTGCATGTTGTGGTTTTGGCACTAAACGTAACCTATGTGCTGTTCACAATCATTGGCGTATTGTAATTTTGGAGAACATCTTTATGCTTTTCTCTACTATATCGAGCACAGTGCTTTCTTGGCATAATCTTCTAAATACTCCCTTAAATTGGGTAATTTCAACCATGTTATTCATTTTTTTTATGTGGAACAGTGCAGGAATGTAAATCAAATCTAATCAAATACAGACCTGCCAAACTGTACGCATTTTGTGTAGCGGGTACACATTTTGACCTCAAAGTACATTGGTACGATTTGTCACAAAACTACACAAAAAACTGGTGACTGACTCTGCCACGCCAAACCGAAAAGAAAACCGTGATTAAAGGTGTGTGTGACTGAATTTAGACCTGCTAACCTTTGGAAAATATTTATCATACAATTTTGCATTTTGCACACTGTGCAAATACGATTTTGACATTAGCCATCAAGGAGCTTCAGGTAATAATCAAGCTATCTAGGAATATATGAACTCCTCCCCAAACCCCAAATATAGTCATTTTAATTCCAGCATCATACATATCTGGAACCTCATCTACACCAAAATAAAATAAAGTTTTTTTTGTGCATATACAACAATATTTGGTTATTATAATGTAATTGTGATAAATGGCATTTTAGTGTCAGAGTTAAGGAGTAAAAGCTAATGCTGGGTACACACTAAAAGATTTTTAAAATCTTATAAGATCTTCAAAATGTGAGAGACCACAAACATGAGGACAAAACATCCTAGATTTAACCGTTTTGCTCCTATAGTGTGTGGTGTGCAGCGATGTTCCCCCCACACATCAGGATTTCTGATCGTAAATATTCAATATGTTGAATATTTACGATTCGCGATCGGGGCACCTCCGATGTTCTTCCGAGCAGATTCAGTCACTCTTAACACAGCTCACACCAGTGGTGTAGTCTACGTGATACGCAGGTATACGCCATATACCCATTAGGAAAGGTCAAGGATTTGCGTATACCCACTTAAAAAGCGTGCGGATACGTAACAACATCGTTTTGTGAATGACCTTTCACACGTTCATTCATAAATTCACCCTGTCTGTGTTGCGAAGCACCGACTTTTTGATAACCACACTGTGTTTCTTTTGACGACTATTGCTATTGTGCAACTCTTGCGCAGCATTGAATGTGCAAGCTTGAAATGAATTAATGTGAATCACTAAAGGAGATATGAAATGATCACACTCTTTCAGTGTTTTCGTAAGCCTGCCTCTGAAGCTGCTGCTGCTTCGGGTGACACTGCAAACAGATGACAGGTACGTTAACATTATAGAAACGACAGAAAATGAACCAGATAAGGCTGATAGGCTATTATCCTACGCGGTACAGAAAATGAGGCTGATGCTATCGTAGCGTTACCTGGTACGTCAAAGTAGCATATACCTTATCATTAACGTAACTGTAACAGCAGGGGATTGTTGGCATGTAAGAACAATGAGTGATTTCAATAAACAAAAAGTTAATATTAAGTGACTTACACTGTCTGACTATAACAGTATTGCCTGATTTTGCTCTATTTTGTCAACTAAAAAAGTTTCAAACAAATTCACAACTGAGCCGCTGCACATCTCCATTCAAACACAGCATTGTTTGGTTTATGAATGAATCTGCATTTTTAAACGAATCTAGTGAGTCAATTCAATTACCCATTCATAAAGACAGTCACGTGCTTTGTTCCTGAATGAATCAGCCGTTCGAACGAATCAATTGAGTGAATGATTCAGTGATAAAATCAGTAACTTGCCGCCACCTAATGGCAGTTTTAGTTTGTCATTTTCTTAACTTATTCTCAACATGAATTTATGAAGTTAATTGCACTCATGCCACCTCTGAGCCTCATTAAATGTCTGTAAATAGCTACAAGCCACTTTTGTGTTCTTCTGTGCGACCTCTGTAGTGCAAATTAATTTTGTTAATACTGATTTTATTTGATTAGTAACTTATTATACTTATTCCATTGTTTTAATTTGAAATTTTGACAAAAGCTTATAAAAATACACTTTTGAATTTGACATAAAAGATAACATATATAAAGTTAGAAAAAAAAATGCCCATGTAGATCACTTTAAGGAGTCCAATATTACTTCGTAATGGGAAGGCTAATTTTTGTTATTGTTCAGAAGGTGTTCCTGAATTTTTTTTCTGTGCTCCTAATTTTTTTATTTATTTATTTATTTATTTTTTTTCAAATTAGCAGCACAATTGCTCCTAAAAATAAAAGTAAGCGTTTAGTCCCTGTTTAGTGAGTGGTGGTGCTTATGAGGTGCTGCTCTGGGACAGGTGAGTATGAAGCTGGGAGGGAAAAATCACAGTATACTCACTACAAAAAACTAGACTACACCACTGCCTCACACCACAGGAAAATCTGATAAGATAATCTTTAGAACCATCAAGATAATCGGGACATTACCTAGGATTGTCGGAAGGGGAGAAATCGGCCCAAAATCAGCCCGATTATCTTATGGTGTGTACCCAGCATAAG